AAAAGAAAAAATAAATAAATAAGTATTCATTTTTTTAGAAAAAGAGCAAATTACACCCAAACTAAGGACATGGAAGGACATATTACAGATCAGACATTAACAAATTAAAATATATATAGACACACAATAGAAAGTCAAAAGACAAAGCCAAAGTCTATTCATTTAAAAGTCTAATAGACTTGACAATGCCATGGCAAGACTGATCAAGATACACAGAGGAGAGGCCCATTCTCCAATATATAATGTGAAGAAAAACAACCCTACAGGTCCTACCATCAATGAAAATATAATGAAGAAAATATTATGAACAACTATGCCAATAAATTTGAAAGTTTAGCAAAAAAGGTCACATTTATAGAAAAGTACAACTTAAAATTTATTTTTTAAAAAAAATCTAATGTCCCATATCTGTTAAGGAAATCGAATCTATAAATATTCCTATGAACAAAATTTCAGGCACAAGAAATACCACCAAAATTAAAACACAATCTTGTAGAGAAAAGCAAGAAGAAATACTCAAGAATCCATGTTATGAATTCAGCATAACCTTGCCAATAAAACCTAACAAGAACATACCAAAATAAAATTACATGTCAATTTCTCTTATGGAAAAAATCCTAAACAAAATATTAAAGAACTAAATCTAGTAATATATAAAAAGCATAACATATGACCAAGTGGGTTTACTTCCTGTGTATCAAGTTAGTTATCAAGTTAGTTTTACATCTGAAAATCAATTACTGTAATTCAGAAATAAATAAAGGAAAAAAGCATTTTACAATCTAAACGAATGCCAAAAATCACGATAACATTGAACAGGCATTCATGATTAAAAAATGTAAATATATCAACTAGGAATAGAATGGGCATTCTTGATGTAATAACAAATACAAAAAAATACAGCAAAAATTAAATATTAAAAGGAAAGGTTTCTCTTTGAGAACAGAATCATGACAAGGAAGTTCACTCTTGCTTCTACTGCATATTATATACCAGAGGCTACAGCAGTGCAATAAAGGAAGAAAGGTATAAGAATTGGAAAAAATAAATAACAGTATCATTATTCTCAGATTATATATTTGTATATATAGAAAACCCAAACTCATACATAGACAAATTATCTGATATAATAAATTAGTATAGAAAAATTGTTAGATACAAGGTCAATAAATAAAAAATAATTTTACATATCAGCAAGAAGCAATTAGGAAATGCAATTAAAGACATATGTATATTAACAAAAAAACATAAAAATAACAAGAGGTGTGCAAGAACTTTAAACAAAAAATCATTTAAAATCACTAAAAACATAAATGTACGAAATACGCAGTGTTCACAGATCAGAAGATTCAATATTAAAAAGATAGGCAATTCTTTCCAAATTTATTTACACATTCAATTCAACCCCAAAGAAAGTCCCAGCAGGTTATTTTGTGAATACTAACAATATTTATATGGAAATGTAGTGGGCCAGGAAGAGCCAGGATCCTGCTGAAGAAGAAAAAATGTGTTAGGACTTACACTACTAAGTATTAAGACGTTCTGTTCATTGGTTCTGTTCCACTGGCACAGAAAGGACAAACAAACCAATGGAACAGAACAGAGTAAAAAAAAAAAACCCAGACTTAATGTGTATAAATAATTTATGCAAATTTCATACTGCCAAACAGTGGAGAAAGGATAGTCTTTCAAAAATAATTCTAGGCAGATTGTATGGGGGGAAAAAAAAGCAGACTGTCTACCTCATACAAAAGTTGCACATCAATTCCAAGGAAACAGGTATAAAATGTGAAAGCCAAAATAATAAAAACATTCAATATTTTTAAAAAATAAGAAGGGATTATCATCATGACCTTGGAAAAAGAAAATTAATTTTAAACAGAACACAAAGAACACCAACACTAACAAATATATTCAATAAACTAATCTAAGGATTGGCGAACTTTTCCCGTTAAAAAAAAAACAAACAGCCATTAAATATTTTAGGCTTTGTGGGACAGAAATTTCTGTCACAATTACACAACTCTGCCACTGAAGTCACAAAATATATGTAAATGAATGAATCAGCAGGGAGGTATCAAGATTGTGAGAGGGGCATAAGGGAAGCTTCAGGAGTGCTGGTAATGTTTATTTTGACCTGAGTACCTTGGATTTGTAATGATTCATTGAGCTCTATACAGTGCTTAAGATTTGTGGGCTTTTCTACATATTGGCTATACACACAAAAATAAGATTTATTAAAAATTAAAATATATTTGAATTTATTGACCCAAGACTACATAAAAAAGAAAACTGAAACAAGTGCAGAACAAAAAAATAAAAAAACTGTTAAAAAGTGAGTGATAAAACTTTTTTTTTTGATTAAAAAGTTTTAGGGCCGGCCCGGTGGCGCACTGGAGAGTGCGCCGCTTGGGAGTGCGGCGGCGCCGCTTGGGAGTGCAGCAGCGCTCCAGCTGAGGGTTTGGATCCCATGTGGAGACCGGTTCCCGTTCACTGGCTGAGCGTGGTGCGGGTGCAGCACCGAGGGTTGTGATCCCGTTGCCGGTCCCTGGAGACCGGTTCCCGCTCACTGGCTGAGCGTGGTGCGGGTGCAGCACCGAGGGTTGTGATCCGATTGCCGGTCCCCGGTACAGGCGCAACACTGAGGGTTGCGATCCCGTTAACGGTCAGTAAAAAAGATAAAAAGGAAAAAAAAAAAGTTTTATAATATTACGGACAAGTTTATGGAAAAATACTTACAAGCAAAATTATGCAAAACATTAAAAGAATAACAATTTTTGAACAAGTGGGGCTAGTTTTGGAAAACAAAGACTAACTATTAAGAAATGCAGAAATATAATTCAATAGATCCAAAATTACATCATCTCCATAACAAGTTAAGAAGACATTTGGAAAAATTAAACTCTCATTTTTAATAAAATAAGACTCAGTGGATAGTTTGTAAACATGACAAAATGTTATATTGCTCAGTCTAAAGCCAGCAGCATAATGAAGAAACTTGGCAGACATTCCCAAACAGATCTTGTCAGTCCTTGGTCAGCAAGTGTTACCCCTGTATTGTGCTGCAAAATATACAACTGGATCCCTTATCGCGTTATATTAAAAAATAATACCTAGATGGGTTAAGGTACTAAATATTTTTTTAAAGTTTAATATTTTTAGACAAAATATAGAAAAAATTCATTACGCCCCTGGGGTAAAAAAAGATACTTGAAAAAAAGATACATAAAAAAGGACAAGGAACTTTGTATCACAATGTAAAACATTCAGAAAGGATACCAGTAAGTTAAAAGAAAAAGGGCATACTGAGAGAAGATAATTAACAATTATAACAAAAGATTACCATTCAAAATGCATAAGAAATTCTTACAAAACTCAGAAAAAAACCTGAAAAGCCATAAATTTATGAAAGTTGCACAACCTCATTAGCAACAGACACTTGAAAATTAAAACAATGAGGGTTTTTACCCATTAATGTGGAAATAATTTTTAATACTAGGGAGGAGGGAGGACAAGTAATCTTCTAATGAATAGTAACGTACTTAGAAAAATGGGAAATCCTCATATCCTATAACTCAAAAATCATAGCTATTTACTCTAGAGCAGTGATTATTAAACTTAGTGAATATCAGTATCACATGGATGCTTTGTAAAACACAGATTGGTGGGCCTCACTCCCAGAGTTTCACTTCCGGTAGGTTTGGGAGTTGGGGCCTGAGAATCCACATTTCACACCAGTTCGAAGGAGATGCTGATGCCACTGGGTCAAAGGATCTGACTTTCAGAAGCACTGCTCTAGAGTCTGGAGATACATCTGCATTTTGTACACAGAGAGAGAATGACAAGGATGTTGGCAGCATTGTTTACATTACTGAAAAATGGAAATTATACTAAATGTCCATCAATGTAATACAGTATATAGAATATAGTGTAGCCACACAATGGAATGCTATAGCATTAAAAGGAATAAACTACATATGGACAGATCTCAAATTATTGATGAATTGGAGAAAATATATGTTATCATACATACACTAAGACAATTTACATATTTTGAAAAGCACCCAAAACAATAAACAGTATTCTTCAAAAATATATTTTTTTCAGTGTACACATAAAGGTAAAATGAGAAGACTAGCAGACAGAGGATTAAAACTTGAAACTGAACTATGGGACATGATGAGGAAAGACGCCAAGAAAGAGCCATCAGAAGAGTGGTATCAGAAGCTGACAAAGGAGACTTTCGAGGTGAGAACAGTGACTAGGGAAAGGCAGCAGGTAATCAAGGAATACAACTAACTACAATTTAGTCATTGGTGACCTTACCTGGACACATTCCGAAAAAGTAGAAGGGAAGAACTAAGACGCTATACTATTAGATGAAATGTGACTGAGAAGCTCAGAGACACTTTCCAGAAAATAACTTTGAATTTTCTACTACACAACCTATATATACAGCCTGGCTAATATAAAATTGTTATGGAGAGTTTTCCTTACAGGCATGTGGGCTATTTATTCCTCTAAACATTCTTGGTTTTATGTCAGGATCAAACAAGACCATCAGAAAACTGACTACTTGAACCATGTCTTGAATCCTTTTATGCCCACTGTAGAACAGACTGAAGCAATGGGCTGCGTTAATTTCAGGGCTGAATGGAAGGTTATTTACTATGTGTCACTAAGTTGTGACCAAAAGAAGATATCTTCCAGGAAATCTTTGTACCTTCAGAGAAACCAATACCCAAAATACAGTGTCTTCCTTTCTGCCATGGTTGTTGGAAACATCAGATACATATTTGTAGTTCAACTTAGCGACCTTAAGATCATACGATCAGTATATATTGACATGCTGATTTGAACCTACTATTGATCTGTTACTTTATGTTTTCTGTGAAGTTCCATTTTTTTATTACTAACTCTCATCTTAACATATTGACTCTTATGAATCTGTCAAAGTACAGTATAAAATAAAGTGGGGAACGAATAAACAAACAACTTACCTTGTTCATTTTGTCCTGTTCTTGGAAGTATGTAGACAACTCTGAAGATACAGCTGAGTTAGAAGAAAAGGAATGAGGTCATGAAATATCTGGCCCACCTGGCAGCTCTTGAATTCTTCTGTCCTAAAAGCTATATACACCTGCTAGAGAAAATGCTCCCTTTTGGAGAATGTCAAATTGGTCCCTTTGACTCTTCAGAATGGGCAGGGGGAACGCTGAAAGACCACCTACTATTACTCTTATATAATCATATAGCTCTTGGGCACAACATTTCACTGGATGAGTGTAAATATGTGCTTCCTTAGGAATTTAACAGTTTAAATCTCCCTTAAGGTTCACAAAAAATTTATAACGGCGATATTGGTTGAACAAGTTAACAATACACCTAATGAAGAAACGTTAACATTTCACTAAAAGTGTTGTTAAAAAAAATACGCAGGGCTAAGCTGTCCACCAATTTTCCTACTAATGTTACCTAATTTAGCAGCTCCACAAAGTCCTTAAAAGCAATGCTTACAGGGGAAAAAAAATGTTTTAATTTAACTTTGTTGCTGTTTCTCAAAAGGATGTTTTGTAAGAAACTTGCTCTGACTTGTAGACAATATTGGCTTGGGAACCAGGAGATCCGATTTGTAGTCGTCGCCACTAACAAACTGCGATCCTGAATAAATCACTAATCTTCAGAAACAAAAAAAATTGTTTCTTCTACCAAATGAGTAAAAAAAGTTAACTCTTGAAGATGGTTCCTGAGTAGAGCCAGTCAGTACAGAGGAACAGCATATATCAAGACGCAGTGATGAACATGTTTAGACAGCAGTTCAGAATCTAGAATGGATGAACAGAGAAACAAGGGAAGAGTCTACACAAGGCTGACGACTGAAACCAGCCGTGGCTGGCGGGTCGTCCTTCACAAGCAACGCCTCACACGCACCCATCGCGCACGCGCTCTTTCCACAGCACCGCCCCCTCCCCGGGGGCTCGTGGCAGGCATCACGCAAGTGCGCATGCCTCCTCATCGCGGCACCACAGAACTGCAGGGACAACGCCGCCCGCTCAGTCCCGGGGCGGCTCGGCACGTGCGAATCCGACCTCCTGTCCTAACAGAGACGCCGCCACCGCGCCGTCTGGGGCCCTGGCGCGGGGTCCGCGTGGCTCCTCCCCAGCGCTAAACACCGGCTGCCGCCTGCCCACCCCGGAGCTGCGCAGGGGCCCCCGGGTCCTCACTAAACCCTCCAGGGCTCACCTGCCGCTCCCCAGTCATGTCACAGTGGCCCCAGAAGAGCGCGTAAACTCGGCGGCCCGGAACCGCCTGAAGAGAGCGCAAGGAAAGGCGGAAGCGCAGGGGCGTCGGGCAGCACCGGGCATGCGCAGAGCCAGGGCGGATGCAGTCGGCGCCCCTCCTCGAAACTACCCTTCCCGTGAGGCTCCGCGCCAGCCCGATTAGGGAGCGTCGTGGCCGGGCTTAGGGCTGGGGGTGGGGCGGGCCTGAGTGAGGTGGCGCCTGGAGCTCCAGAAGTGACTGTCAAGGGAAGGAAAGCTGTGCGTCAGCTCCAGTTTTAAATACTAGGAAATAGATGTCATCGATACAATAAAAAACTTACTGTCTGACACAAAAAAAGGTGGGGGGAGAGATAGCTCATTAGTCACGAAAGCAATAAGCATAAATTGTAGGTGGATCAGAAAATAGACAATCCAAAAGAAGGAAAAAATACCACGTTCTTTCCTCTGTGACATTAGAATTACTTAAATAAATGGAGATATACTCTTTCATGGGTAGGAAGACCAAATATTCTTTGACAAAATTCCAGTAAGAATCTCAACAAATTTTTATGTTTTTTTCCCTTTGATTTTTAGTGTATTGTGTACTTTACAAAAGCATTTTCAACTTTATCTGTAATAAATAAAAACCCAAACTAAAGCCAGAAAACAGTTTAAAAAGCAGAAAAATGCCTAAGAAATATCAATATGTAATATTTCTGTATTATTCAAAATAGTTTGACACCTTCTTCATGAAAGTAAGAGACCATGATTATTCTTTAAATGTAGTATAGTAAATGTAGCGTTTTAAAACAATGAGAGGCGAATGAGACATTCCAAACAACATGTTCCAAACAATCTGGAATATAAATAAGGTTATATACATGGATCACATATGATAAAATTTCTAATGGAGTCAAGATTGGAAACGTTTGATGTAAACCACCAAGTTAATATAAATTATAAAATTTGAGATGTGGCACCAAAGACAGAAACTGTAAATTTAATATATGATACATTTTATAATAGAAAAAATAAGCAACTCAATTCTAATAAATAAATTTAAAAAAAGATTAAAAGCAAAATAAACGGGGGTTGGCGCATTAGCTCAGTTGGTTAGTGTGGTGTTATAGAAGCAAGTAAGTGAGGTAATTATATTTTACTATTGGAAAGAAAAGATTTATTAATTTTTAAAGAGTTCATTGAATCATTAGGAAAAAATTAAAATGGGCTAAAGAACTGAGCAGTCATATAACACAACAGAAAATGTAAATGAATAATAAATGTATGAAAAAGGTCCATTTGGGGAATTGAAAGAAATGCAAATATTTAAGTAAAACCCTCAAATTTTATTGAGATTTTAATTGCTTTAATTTATTTTTAAATTTACATACAGAAAAGTTCACTTTATTTGGTGAACAGTTTAATGAGTTTTGATAAATGCATTGATTTATGTAACCACCACCACAGTCGGTGTATGGAACAGTCTAATCACCACCCAAAAAATGTCTTCATGCTACCCTTTTAAAGCCAAATTCTCACCAGTTATAACCTCTGGCAACCACTATCTACTCTTTGTTCCTATAGGTTTGCCTTTTCTAGAGTGTTATATAAATGGAATCATACAGTATGTCATCTTCGAATCTGGTACTTTTTACTTAACACAATGCAAGTGAGATTCTTCCATGTTGTTTTGTGAATCAATACTCCTCTTCATTTTTATTGCCAAGTCCTGTGTTCTATGGTATAGATTTACCACAGTTTACTTATCCATTCCCCAGTAGAGGGACATAGAAGATGTTTCCAATGTGGGGAAATTATGAATACAAAAAACATCATTTTGGAAAATAAGATTTCAAAAGATTGAGAAGAGTAATATACACCTGTTGCACAGGCTAGAGGAAATGTTTAATCCTGTATTAGTCAGGGTTCTCCAGAGAAATAGAACCAATAGGATATATAAGCTATATGGAAGTAAACAAATCTAAGTGTTTTTCCTATACTCTTACTCTGCAACAATCAATACAGAATACTTCCCTGACCAAACGTGTGGGGGTTTCTCCCCCACACTAAGCCAGCAATCATTTCTACAGCAGACACCAACTGGCTGACCTCCAATTCAATTCTGACACTATCTACCTGGAGACAGCATCAGATCCCACAGGTTGAGGGCTAAATCCCCAAGACTGCCAGATACCACTTCAGATACCAGGGAGTCACATGTCCAGGCCTACAGAAACTCTGACTGACCGGCTTCAAATTGGGGATCCCATGACCCACTCTTTGGGTTTGATTAATTTGCTAAAGTGACTCACAGAACTGAGGGAAATACATTTACCAGTTTATGAAGAGTTGCATAGGGCAAGGTATGGGGGAAGGGGTATGGAGCTTTCATGCCCTCTGCAGGCACGCACCCTCCAGGAACCTCCACATGTTCAAGTATACAGAAGTTTCCTAACATAGACTTTTGGGATTTTTATGGAGGCTTCAATACATAGGCATGATTGTTGATAGATCACTGGTCATTGGTGATCAGCTAAACCTTCAGGTCTTCTACCCTCCGCAGAGGTTGCAAGGTGGGGCTGAAAGTCCCAACCCTCTAATCCTGCCTTGGTCTTTCCGGTAACCAACCCCCATCCTGAAGCCACCTATGGGCTGCCAGTCGTCAGCCAACTCATTAGCATACAAAAAGACAGTATTTTGAAGATTCTAAAGATTTTTGGATTTATACACCAGGAAACGGGATGAAGACAAAATATATATTTCACAGTACTGAGAGAGAAAGAGAGTGAGAGTGTGAGAGAGAGAGAGAAAGAGAGAGAGAGATTTGGTTTACATGATTATGGAAGCTAAGAAGCCCCACAATCTGCAAGCTAGAGACCCAGAAAAGCCAGTGGTGTAATTCTATCCAAGTCTGAAGGCCTGAGAAGAAGGGGAGCTGATGGTGTAAATCCCAGTCCAAGAGCAGAAGAAGATGAGATGAAATGTCCCAGCTCTACAGTGAGGCAGAAAAAAAAATGGGCGAATCCTTTTTACTCTGCCTTGTGTTCTATCCAGGCCTTCAATGGATTGAATGGTGCCCATCCACATTGAGGAGGGCAATCTACTGAGTCCACCAACTTAAATGCTAATCTCATCCATAAACACCCTCACAGACACACCCAGAAATAATGTGGGTACCCCATGGCCCAGTCAAGTTTACACATAAAATTAACATTCAACCTACTCAATTTTATCATGAGTTTAGTTCATGTAAACTCTCTGGAAGTTCATTTTATCAAATGTTAAAGAACTTTTAATCTAGCAATCCCACTTATATGACTATATATGACCTTATAATAATAAAATAAATTTTCTTTCATGTATGTACAAGTATGTTTACATCAATCAGAGTCCAGATGGTAAAAAAGAGATGACTCAAGTATTACAACACAGAGAGTTTGATAGAGAATTGGTTAAAACAGGTGTTTGAAAGGTAAAAGGGAACACAGAGCTAACACAGGGATAAAAACTGCAGACAGCAGCTACCAGCCTACGGCTGGGAAACAAATGAAAGAGGTTAAGGTTCTCAGAACCTAGCAGCTAGGTAAGTAGCCCCAGAGCTAGAACTAGACAGCTGAGGACCCAGTGGTGCCTGGGTCCTGCTGGTACCTCAGGTACTCAGAGGAGAGCTTTGCAGAACTGGAATTCAGATTTCAAAAGGGTGCTGTCCAGTTGCTGCTGGACTTCCAGAAAGGCATGCTGGGACAAGTCAGAATTTAAATCCCCTTTGAAAAGTGGCTCTTTTATTGGGAGAGGGCCAGAACTAAGAATCTGATGTATGCTATGAACTGTTTCTTCATGAACATGAATCTTTTCAACTAGCGACACAATTTCGCTTAGATACTCAGTGAAGTTCATGAAGTTTCTGCACCTCAGTGGACACCAGCTTAACAACTACACTGGAGACAAGATGTCAGTCAGTTTCTTGGTTATCTGCTTATGGAATCTGTGAATGTTCTTCAAATGGGGAGGGCTGGAGCTCATGCACTTTAGAGGAGCCTGAGCTTGATAAGGTAGAAGCCAGCTATTCACCGGGGCAACGTTTCCCTTCACCCAAATGAGCTGAATATCCAGACTGCCTGCCATCCTGTCCTAGAGCCAGAGGGATCATTTAGTCACTTTGTTATGCAGGTACTCAGTGAAGTCTGT